CAACCATGAGCATACAGTACTAACAGAGCCAGACATAAATTAATGTTGAAAACGTTGGTTTTCATTGCAAACTCTGCTTTGCAAGTGATGGGTAAAGTCATGCACTGACAGTAAAAGAATGTTGAACGATTGATTATGAAGGGAAGTCTGTTAACAATGGCTAGTGAGTGAGGTGAATCACAATAAGTACTCTAGAAGCTTTCTACCTCTCTTTGACCCCATAATAATACTATATCAGGAAGTGTATGTGTAAGGAAAGTGATTTACAATTATTGTTACAGCTTTAAACACATGGCCTTTAAATGGTAATCAGTTCAAGGATCAATTTCATAATCAGTGTCTTATTTTTATTGTTTTAATAAATTCTCGTTTCTCTGCCAGAGTTGTCTGTCCTGTGAGAGTGGAGCTGTGTAAACAGCTGATTCGATGTTCAGCATCTCTCAGCAGTTATCCACCATAAATAGAGCAAGTGTCTTTTCCACATGCCTCTTGACATGGTTAGTCTAACTGAGGGAGTTAAAATGCTCTTTCAGAGGGAAGCAGCAGCAATTTATTTTGACTTCCCTTTATTTCCACAGATAATGGCCTTTTAATGTGCTTTTTCCCTAATGCTTCTCTCTTTTTAAGTCTTTTTAATATTGCAAAATTACGTGGGTGCACCTGGGTTCTGAGTTTCATGTAATCACAATGGTTTTGAAGCACCTGGTTCTGCATTAATGCTGCAACTTGTTACAGTGCTCTAGAGTAAAAAACATCTGAAGAATGTGAAACGTCTGCCTGGTGTTCTTTAGGGTGAATGGTTTCCTTAGGGGATGGATACACACAGTACAATTCCATCCTAGTGCAGGATGTCCAGGAATCAAGATGCAGGTTATAAATTAAAGATCAACACAGTGTAACTTAGATTTGAATTGAAAGGAAAGTAAGCAGATGGTAGATACCTATGCATCCTCTGTAGTGGTATTTTACAAGTTTAAGAGCCTGTAGTTACTACAACGTACTTTCCCAGGGAGAATCCTAACCTTTGAGTTGCAGTTGGTTTGTATTTCCCAGTTCTGCAGGGGCCTGATTTTATGGACACCTGGCACATACGTACCTTTGTTTAGTCGGAATTTATTTCACTTTTTATGGAACTCTTTGTTAAGTAATGTTGATTATGGGTGTGTTTTTGTGGGATCAGGGCTTGAATAGCTTCCCCTATGCAATACTTTGCAGTCTCTTACAGTTCTTGTTTCCCTGCCAGCTCAGAGCTGTATCTTGTCAAATCTGTTGTTACACATCCAAGACACAGACTATTTCACTTGTTCATTGTTGACAGGATGTTTTGGATCACTATGTACTTTTAAGACATTTTCCAAAACTTTATTTTAGGCTTTCTGTGAAAGAAATGTCTTTATCACAGTTGCAGCACACTGTAGTCTTTCTTCTCCTTGGAGTTCATAGTCTTTAAATGTTTGTAGAGTGTTATCTCACTCAGTTGGTCTGTTTAATGGCAGTCTAGGGATAGGTATATTTATTCAGCAATTTCATTGTCCACTTTTCATGAGTGTGTTTTTCCTTTGTACTTCTGTTCTTTTAGCCTGTAACACGTTGCATTGACTCCTTTTTGCTGTCTTTTTGCCATAAGTCTTGATTAGCAGTTGTGTCTGATTGTTGGCCAGGCGTCACAGTACTTGCAGCTTTATGGTTATACATTTCTGCTGCATTTCAGTCCTTTTATCCCATTCTTTTTACTCTACCTCTATTTGTACACACCATTGTAACAAAATTGTTCAGCAGTCAACAGAAGTCTTTTCATGGGAAGGTTCTTTAGAGTTGTGTGGTTTGTTGGCCACTTCTTAGTCTTTGGGCAGATTGCCTCCAATGGTGGGTGGCTTTTGTTTAGTGGAGGTCACCTGAGGTTGTGTGGTGGTCTACATATGTCCTGCCTTTTTAATCTCATTGCTTTTGTTTCATGTAATCAATTTCTTAATTACTAAGCCCCATTCTTAATATTGGACAGAACAAGGCCTGTCTTTTCAAGAACAGAGCTGGTGTCCTTCAACAACTTTTAATTTACTCTATTGAATGGTGAGTTTCAATTGGACTAACCTAATGTGCAGGTTTTTTTGGTTGACTTCTGACTTATTTTTGTTAGGGGTGGAGAAAAACTGATTACATTTACTGACTTGTGATTTTGCTTCATAAATCCCTACTGATCTTTCACTGAAGGGATTTTTATTTTTTTTTTAGAATGTTTTCAGTAGTGAGTCTGATAAAATGCAAAGGCATCAAATATGAAGACAACCAGCCGCCTATTCAGTGGTGTGTGGAGGACAAAAGTGGTACTGGTGGCAGGGATGCCAAACATATGGGATATGTAAGATGTGAGATGTTATGGTTTGTTTAAAGGAAAAAAATAATTTAAAAAATCAAAATGTTCTTAAAGACGTAGGACCAGGCACTTAAAAAAAGGTTTTCTGCTTTTCCTTGGTTTTTACAAGCAAAAGAAATTCTGCTGTTTGTCATAGCAGTTTAAATCTTACTAAGATCATAGGCTCAGTTAAGGTGTTTTTCATATGGCTAGGAAGTACAGATTCTTACTCTTAATTTACGTGCTTCTTTTTAAGTTCACTGCTTTGGGTGTGCTTAGCTGGAAAAGTATTGAAAGGTGGACTTTGTCTGAAAAGAACTCATTTTTAGGGTGTTATGTTAATGATGCAGTTTACCAGGCTGATCTATCGGTGCCCTGGAGTATTTGCAGTGTGGCATTTGTTCCTCAAAAGAGCTCTCAGCTGGGTTTTGCCTGTAGGCTTGAGCATGATTTTAAGTTGAAATTAGGGTTGTGTTTTTCAACTGTTTAGTAAGTTGAAACCTTGAGTGTGAATTGCTGGCAAGCTCCAAATTTCACTTAATTCTTCATCATTTGCGCTGGTGTAAGCAAATGCAAAAAGTGTCACTGTAGAAAGATTATACAATATGTTTATTAGAAGTGAGGAATGAATGCAGCTTATTTTGGTGTATCCTGTAACTTTGGAGTGGTTGGCAGATATCTTCCAGTCCTTTGAAGTGTTAGGCTCAGGTGGGCCCTATGTAGCTAGTGGAGAGCCATTGACAATCAGTTGCTTTAACACCATTGTACCTTGCTATATAGACTGTTCTCAGTGTCTTTCAAGGCAGAAAAAGATTATATTGTGGTTTGTGTTGTTGGTTTTGTTTTGTCTTTATTTTTGTATGCAGATTATGGCCCAGAGGAGTTTTGGGATTGATTATGAACGTGACTGCTTTGTCAAGGACGGGATGCCTTTCCGTTACATCTCAGGTAGCATTCACTACTCACGGGTGCCTCGCTACTACTGGAGAGACCGCTTGATGAAGATGAAGATGGCAGGGCTTGATGCCATTCAAACGTAAGTAGCTGTTGACTTCAGAGGGTTTTGCAGTCCTGGGAGATGTATGAGAAGTGCTAAAGTGGAATACTACCATTGGTTTATCGGTTTTTAAGTAATAGGTGAAAAATCTCTGGAGAATGTGGTGCAGGATGACCTCTATCCACATAGACTGGGACACTTGGGCAGGCTATAGCAAACAGTCCACTTCCCTGTTGACTGGCAACACCTCTTGCTTTCACAACCCAGGGTTCAAATGTGACCGGAAATAAATTGTTGAACTGTGAACTTTGGCAACGATGAAACAGTTGTATGTGCTCTGCCTTTGGCATTGTAATCTCAGGTCAAAAGGCAGATGAGATGGTACAATAGTCTCTTAATACAGACTAGGTTGTATCGCCCTGAAGGCTTGAAAATATTGGCAAGGGTGGCAGTCATATTTAAAGCTGCTTCACCAAGTGTTTAAATTTAGAAAAATAGACATTTTAGACAGCTCTCAGTTGCATTTACCAAACCTTTGGTCCATCTTTCCTGTCTTACCTGCTTGGTTGTGTACTGGTTACAACAGGTGAGGCATAGATTTAAATAAAACAATGCAGCTTACTCCAATTTTTTGCAAAAGCTTCCTTGACAAGGGAAGAGGAGTGGTAGGAAAGTGAAAGGCACATTTTTTTTCATGCAGTGGTTGTAATTCCCAAACATGTAAATGTGCTTGTTTGTCTTTCCCAAATAATTACAAAGCTTAGAGCTTCTCTTTGAGACAGACTGCTTGTGAGCTATGGGCTGCCAGACAGTGTTGGTCCTGGCAGTGCAGAGCCTGTATCCCAGGGCACTTTGCTCAGTTGCAGTGTTGCAGTCTCAGTCTTCTCCTTTGAAATCTGTGTTGCAGCAAGTTGCAGGCATGCCCGGTACACTTGGGAATGCAGTTAGTAAGGGCTAGAATTTGAAGAACTGATGGCAGGGAAAAAAAAAATACTTCCCCCCCCCCCCAAATTTAGAGTTCTCTCTCTTTTTGTATGTCTGAAAACTCTTCCCTATGTTGTGGTGATGTACTGACTTTTTGTTTCATGGGCGTTTTTTACTGTTTGTTTTTTATTGTGTTCTAAGAAAGCAAGACATTTCTGTTCTTCCTCCTGTAAGAACAATGGGATTAAGTAAAATGTTTGCTTAGGACAGAGTTGCTGGAATTACCAGTGTAATTTTTTCTTTTGCAATAAAAGTAATCTGGAATGGACCTGAAAATTATACCTTTTGATGTATGGCTTGAAGATCAGCCTGAGTCCTGACAGTGCCTCTGTGACTCCTGTGACCTGCAATGTCTCATGCTTCCCTTATGTGTCTGATTAATTTTCCTCTCCCAGCACCTTTGTAACTTCAGAACTTTTTCGAACAGTCACTTCCTTTTTTCTTTGAAGTTCCCCTTTTGTGTCTCTGCTGCATTGCTAATATTTTGAAATAGGAATATTTTCTTTCCCATTCCCCCTATCACTGTTATTTAATGGCAGAATTGCTACAGGGCTATTTCTTTTCCCGCTGTTCCTTGCTTCTTCCTTTGTAATCTCCTGCTAACAAGGGTGGGGGTTTTATTCTTTATCTTCTATTTTTTCACTTGCTGAGATGTCTTGCTCTGTGCTTTAGTGTCCTTCCACTGTGCAGGAAGTATTGTCTTGTGTTGCTGATGTGGACTGGTCTCTTTGTCTTGGGAGTTCAGAGTTATTTCTGTTTAGGCACAGAGGGAATGGTACAGTGAGCAAGTGTTGCCCTGTGGTTATGTGACCTATGTCTTTAAGTGTTGTTGCTGGGTCACTCATGACAGGTAACAGGTTTTTTATAACCTGTTTTTGTAGAACAGACTGGGATTCTTTGCCTTTCTCCCCGTAATTGCTTACCTTTGGATTTTTTCTGCTGTGGTGGAAGACAGCATCTAAATATGTGTCTTAAAAGCAGGAAAAAAACCCTGTGCCTTGCATTTGCTAAAAGAATAAAATCCCTGCATCTTTCCATTTGACACTGATCTGTCTTTCTCTCTTGGTGCTAAACAAACCCAACAAACCACTCACCCAAACCCTTTTGTTTTGCTTTGAAGTTTGCAGGTAATGAAGCCTTACTGCTCTTGATTATTTGAGATAAAGGAATACATTTTCATGTTACACCAAACAAATCTGATGTGATTTTTGTGCGCTTTTGGTAAAAGTGGAAATTGGTCTAGATTATTTGTTGTGGGTTTTTTTTTTTTTTCTCCTGCTTATTCTTTCCTGGGTCAGTAAAACTATTAGGAAGGAATTGAGATACCAGTTGTCCAGTTGTGTGAAGTTGTTCTGGAATGGGCAGCAGCACTGCTAGACCTTTTGGCAAAATGTGATAGTTGGAGTCCCAACCCTGGGGCCACTTCTGAAAACTGTGATTTTGCTGCTTGGATTTTTTCCCATTAGACATGGGAACCTTTCTTGTTCTTATCAAGATTGCTCCCTATGAGGCTTACTGCTTCAAGGGAAACAGGATCCTTTTATTACAGACTTGTCCTCATGAATACCTTGTGGTTAAAGCAAGCCAAACCTGCTCTCTTTCCTTCTCTCTGCAGCCTTATTTCTGAAAGGTTTGTTGTGCCTTGAGGCATCGTTTAGCTAATGGCTGAGTCAGCAGCTCACCTGGGACTCATACATGAGTGAAACCAGTATATGTGTATAACCACCTGCACCTGAAAGCATCTTAAGCAATAGCAGAATATGAGAAAACACGTGCTAGGTAGCATTAAAGCTTAAAATATCTAAGTCTAAACCTTCCAATTAACAGGTTGAAATTTGATGTTATGTTTGGTGTGACATCCCAGCAGATCATGGAGGTGTTCCTAGGAGCTCTACTCCTGACCTCAGCAGGTAGCACACGGAGGCATCTGGTCACACAAGGGTAACTGTCCTTGTTTCCAGATCCTAAACTGTGTCTGCCATCTAGAAATGAACGCTATCTAAGACATCTGGAAAGGATGTGCTAGAAAGCTAGTGGTTTGGTTTTTAGGATTTTTGGCTTGGAGGAGATAAACAATTAACCCCCACTAGATGGAGCTAAATATTTACAGGATTTACCGATTTGTGGAGATGCTTCCTCTAAGAATCAGCAGTTACCTAACAGGATCGTAGAAAGTTGAATAGTGTTGGGGATTTTGTTTTACTGCATTAGTTGAGTAATGAGCAAAAAGCTGTGATTTTGTAGTAAGTCCCTCTAAGAAAGAGTGGCTGTTTAGAATATTTGTTAATTAAAAAATAAGCACAATTTACTCTTTCAAAGGTGCATACATGTATAATTTAATAAGCATGTATAAAGTGTGGCTCAATTATTTGTGAAATTAGTACGAGATATTTAATTTTACACAATTAAAAAAATCCAAACAACTACCCTGGTATTGCAGAGAAGAATTATCCTGTACATTAAAAGTAGTTAAAGTTGATTTTCTTGCCAGTTGACATCTCTGAAATAGAAGAGGAAAATTGTGGCTTTAAAGAATAGGAAGGTTTTAAGATAAAGCTTAAAAGTTGTATATAAATGTAGAGTAAATGCTTTTACTCAAATACAGAAGAAATGCAATGTTTCAAGTTTGGAAAAAGAACATAGCATTCCTTTATAAATTCATTATTCTGTAGCTGAAGCAGTACAGCATTAACAGCTGACAGAAAAAATTTTCTATGGTATATAGGAATTATACTTCCTAATAATAGTTTCAGAGTAAAATTGTTCAATTTGAGGATGTTGCTAGCTGTAGAAAACATGCTAGGGGATTAAAGTGTATTAATAACAATTCTTAGGCCAATGTTTAAAATACATTTATATTATGATTCATTCTGTAACAAAGCACTTAATATACATTTATTCTTCACTTTCATTCCACTAAAATCTTCTTTTATTTCCAGCCTTGTGGAGAAGCATGGGACATAGAAAAACTCTTCCAGAAAGTTTTGTCTCCTTCTGTATTGCATGTAAGGGAGCTGGAGAAACCCTTTTGTCCTTGCCTTAGATACTATAAGCATATTTAGGCCTTCAGACTTGCTTCTAGAACAAGTTCATAAACTCCAATGAGTCTAGTTTTGTAACTAACGGGTTACAAGGTGTAATTAAGCAGCTTAAGGTGTAAGCAGCTAGAATGCTTTTCTCGTATTAGCTTATAATTTACTTACCAGTTATTTGGTAGCCTGAAAATAACTTAGAGTTATTTGGTTGCCTTGTTTGGTAGCCTAAAAGAAAGGAGTATAAGCAGCTGCTGTCTTTTTGTAGCAGTATTTTAGGCAGTGAGAAACTCTTATGAAGTTAATATCCAGTAATCTTTATTTAGCTCAGACAGATGCAGCTCTCTCTGCTAGAGACATTTTTCAGTGAATGAGTTGCTACACCAACTTGTCTGGAAGACAGGAAGAGATTTGTCTTTTACTATGGTGTCATGTTGGTGCCTGATAATCAGATGGTACTTTTCAGTGGTACCTGCAGACCCTGTTCCTATGAATACCACTTCCATAGGTCATCTTTCTCATTTAGTAATTTTTGCCTTCTTGCTGTGCGAGAGAGAATTAAAGTGATAAATCTTAATTCTTTGTTGATACCAGATCATGTTGGGCTTTAGTTAAGAGCATTTAGAGTTCCTGGTAGTTGCTAAAGGAGAAGCTGCTGCCGCAGCTTCACACCATTCAGGCAGTCACACAGAGACCACCTGAGACTTTGCCTGCGAGGGCCAAACCCACTTCACAGTGGGCAACTCCGGGGAGCTGACAGGTGCCCCTTTCCAATCCTTTCACACACACACCCCCTTGGGCACTTCCTCTTCCTTCAGGATTGACCCTAGGTTGCCCTGAGCAGAGTCTCAGGTATATAATCTTATGAAAAAAATAATTTACTCAGATGGTCCAGTGGGAAACTGGCTCGAGCTGGGTGCCTGCAGACAGGGACCCTGGGCAAAGAAATTCCTGAGCAATTATACCCATAAAATCTATGCACCTCTTCACGTGTTCTTCAAGAGCCTTTTTGGTCCAGTGGTGATTCTTGGTCTGGGGTCTGCTAACACCTTATTGGATTCTTTAAATCCAGCAGACCATTAACTGTACTTACAGAGTTTCAGCTTCTGCTTACGATTGTAGTCTCCTTATCTTCCCATTTGTGCTTCCTGTGAGTGAAACTGGAAAGTCTTGGACTTAAAATAAACATTATTTAGCGACAACTAAAACATCAGTGTGTTATCAACATTTTTCTCATACTAAAGCAAAAACACGGCCCTGTATAAGCTGCTAGGAGGAAAATGAACTGTATCACAGCCAAAAACGTATCTAGGCCAATGTCCACAGCTTGTGTAAGGCTTCTGCAAATCCAGCTGCTCAAGCTAATGCTAAAAGATTTAAACAGAACAAATTGTTCACAATCAAACTTGGTGATTTAAGCTAAACATCTAGTATTTCTTCATATCATGTTCATCAATGGATTTGAAGCTGCTCCCTGTTTGCAAAGCATGCTGTGCATTATGTCACCCAGATGTCAATAAAAACTTTGAATACAGTTAGACCTACCAAAGAGACTTGGAATACTCCTTAAAATATCCCATTGCTTTCCCAGAAAATTGCAGGCTGTTCTTTTCTGGTTATTTTTTTGTTCTATGTTAATATTATACCAACTAGCCTCCTCTTTTTCTTGTTTACATACAGGGATATAATACATCAAAGTACCATAAGTCTTGCTTAGTCAAGAAGCATCACTTTTTTTCCTTTTCTCTGATACTTTAGACAACTTTTCCTGTGAGTAAATAGTTAGGTTTATCTGTCCTTGACAAATCTGTAGTCACACATACATAACTTACAAGAATTCTGTATTTCTATGCAATAGTTTTGAAAACAGCATAGTGGTTATGGCTTAGAGCGAACTAAAATGATTCTGCAGTGATAACTTGGATAACATTATATGGAACAGGGAAAGCAAGCACAAAACAATACTCTGATATTAGCTTTTTTGAGGTAGGTTGGTAATTTGCTTTTAATAGTTTTTTACTTTTTCTGCTTTGATCTTAAATGTCATCTATCAGCTTGCTCCTCTGGTTGAAATTTAGACAAAAGGCACAACACTAAACTAAGGTTGAAGTATTTTCCCATGGTTCATGTATTCATTAAATGCACATTTAGTTTAACAGTGTGCTTCAGAAAGAATTAGACCAGGTTGACAAGGAAATAAAATATACTACATGGAGGGGAAAATGAGCATTTTTATGCCTGAGTGTGTTATTTTGACTCCATGCTGGCATACAAATTTTAAGCTTTATATTTTCAAACAGAGGCTTAAGATTTTGGCATTTGTGAGGCTATAATATTAACTATTGTTGCTGAAATATTATAGTTGTTGTATTTTGTGTTCATATGCATGTATGTCTGACTGTGGTAATTTCACTATTGTGTTCATGTGAGGGTTCCTGTTTTTCTTGCTTATTGAAAGCAGTGTTTTCTGCACTTTTTTCCCTCTTGGGTAGTTGATACAAAATTAACTCTGAAGCACATAAACAAGCTCAGACAGTAAGAAAAGTGTTGCCTGAGAGGATCTTTGCTTGACTAACCACAGTTTTGGTTATACAAATTTTTCTCAATATTTTTAAATTTATTTTCTAACTGTGAAACAGTGGCAAAAGCTCTCTTAGAGGGGTTGCAAACCTATGTGCAAAAAATGAAATGCATGGAGAATGAGTTGCCCGATTCTCTTGAATCCGTGCTCATGCTGTACTCAATTTTAATGTCTGTCTGTGCTATGACTGCCACTTAGTACTATCCCAAGCCAAAGCTCATGGTTGTCAAGCATTGGCCATAAGCTCCAACACTGCATAGTAGTTGATAGATAATATGTTTCATTGCTATCTTGCAACCCAGTGTGTGTGTTCATCTTCTGTGAGGTGTTCTGTGGTGAGGTTGTGGGTTCCCAAGTCCTGGAAGTAGAAGAAATGTGCTCTCTCAAATGGTTATCTGCTTGTTTGGCAGTTGTATTACTTGGTTTAAATGAAGCTTTACTTTGTGCAGGCTCTTGGGCACCTTAGCATCCTCCAACTTGACTGTTCTTCCTATGGTAGCTTTCCAGAACCTGTACTGCTCCTGGTTATTTAAAACTTTCAGAACCTAGATGCAATATAATTTGAGGCTTTAGCATTTATAAGTTCTTTGTTGTGGCAGCAGCATTGATCTATCAGCCCAGTTGGTGTTTCCTGTGCAAGCTGGGTGATAAATTAATGAAGAGACGTGTCCTGTTTTGACCAAGCTTGTTCTTGTGTGGCTTACAATATTGGTCTCATCACACACCTCCCACCACTATACAACTGGCAGCTGACTTGCTTACATCACACCTGTTAACTATTTAAATTTTGGAACAGACATTATGCTTTCAAAATGGCACTATGAAAATCTGTTCTTGAATTGATCTAGACCCCTGCAGAGAATGCTGTAAAATATTAACCATTATTTCAGTATTAACTTTAACACCTTCTTCTATATGAAGTACCTCACTGAAGAAGGGCCCTGGAGTTATTCCTGTGTTTTAATGATGTGAAGACCAATTCAACATTCAGATCTCTGGGGTGTGCAACCAGTTGTTATTTGGAATTCTGGTTTAGTCTCAGTTTCCTAATGGCAGGTGATCTTCTCTCTTCATAGGTATGTGCCGTGGAACTTCCATGAACCCCAGCAGGGCATGTTTGATTTTTCTGGTGACAAAGATCTAGAGTATTTCCTGCAACTTGCTAATGACTCTGGTTTGCTGGTTATCCTGAGAGCTGGACCTTACATCTGTGCAGAATGGGACATGGTACAGCCTTTTATAATGGTTATCTCATTTCTAGGATAAATCTAATGCAAGTATTTCTGTCCTTCAGGAGATAAACATACTTGGTGTATCCTTGTGCAAGACTTTGTTTAGTGTATTAAAATCCGTGCATCCTAAGTGTCTTCTTACAATGCAAGCTTACTTTGTTTTTTCATTGGGAATTACTACTTATTTGTAGAAAATGAATCTCCAGGTCTCAGTAAATGCTTTGATAAAAGGCTAAATTATTCTTACATGTCTTAAAAATAGTTGCTGAAGTGATTCCCTTTCTTTTCCCAGGGAGGTCTTCCTGCATGGCTGTTGCAGAAGAAATCTATTGTTCTTAGGTCTTCTGATTCAGGTAAAGGCATCAACTAGGATTAGCAAAAATACACTTTAGCAGAAAAGGGACTTGCTGTTTGAGGCCACTTCTAGACAATTCATATTTCAGCTTAAGTTAATTTGTGAGTAAAATCTTTAGCAATTTAAGTAGAAGTGTACATTCAAGAAGTATATAGAACAAACAAAGTAGCACAGAAAGTTTCCAAGGTATTGACAAGTTTCATGATGCTAAGAGAGAAATCATTGTCACCAAACACAGGAGCTCTCAGCTTTCAATTTTTTGATTGTGGAGGTCCTTTATGGCTGGTCACTGTGTATGTAATTCCAGAACTAGTTACAGCATTCTTATGTACTACCTGGTCATGGACCAGACATGGAGAAATGAGATGAGACAGGACATTAATGTAGCTATTGAAGTGTGTATCAGGGGACCAAGTTATACATCATAGCTGACTTCAGTTCTGCTCATTATCTATTTTTTAAAAATAGTACACGTAGCAATATTTAAATTTATTTTCCTGTTGGAATGTATTAGGACAACCTGTGTAAAACATACTGAAGTCTCCCTCGTGATTTTTCAAAGTTCACCAGTATTTAAATGTTTTATTTTTTAGTAAACTCTACCAGAAGCTGACATTTATGGACAAGTGTAAGAGCATATCAGTTAATTAAATGCTGTTCTGTTATACTTTATGTATTTATAACCCTTGGTAAAAACTACCCATATATAATGTAAAAACTAGAAAACAGAAAAGTTATTCAACACTTATACTTTGTGTATCACAGATTACATGACAGCAGTAGAGAATTGGATGGGTGTCCTTCTGCCAAAGATGAGGCCTCATCTCTACCAAAATGGAGGTCCAATCATCATGGTGCAGGTAACTCCCTGAAAATAAAATGAATACAAGCAGCATGGATGCAGACACTCGATAGGTCTTAAGAGGTTATGTCACAGATGTTCCTTAACAGTTTCAGGTAGCTGAAAGATTCTGATGTAATCCCTTATCCTAAAGAACCAAATGCACTATTTCCAGAATTCAGAGAGCACTTGTCTGCTCTAGCAAAGTTGTTTCCCACAACTTATAGGCAGGAGTAGAGGAAACATGGAGCTTTTTATATCCAAGTTTCATGGCAGTTCTCACATAAATCCACGATGAATTACAGTTGCCTGGAAACCTCTGACAGGAAAAAGGAGAATAAGGATACCTGCAGATGGAAGCAAAAGCAGTGTCAAATAAGCTTAAAACTTGTGACAAAAAATGTCCTCAAAGTTTGAGTTTTTTAGTTCTTAGCACCTAACTTAAGCTATAAATGTTTCAGGACACAGTGTTGTGTGTTCAAGGTGAGTAGCTTCTTTCTTTAATTCCGGGTGTTCAGTGGTGATTGTTCCATATTCTTAGTACTTGACCATAACAAAAGCTTTGCTTCATTATTTTTTTTTTAAGTCTGATTGACACAGGACGGGATAGGACACCCTTCTTATAATATGCCCAAGATCTTATTCTTAGTACTTGACCATAACAAAAGCTTTGTTTCATTTTTATTTTTTTTAAGTCTGATTCACACAGGATGGGATAGGACACCCTTCTTATATTACTGCTCTTGAGCAGTATATAATGTTTATTGGGCAAAAAGCACTGAGCCAAATTATTCCTCTGCAGAAGTAAGATGCTTATAACATAAATAACCTTCACGTGTTCATGGCATTGGATTGGGAGCTTGAAAGTCCATTCCCTTGGAGAAAGGGCAAGATATGTATCTCTCAGTAGTAGCAGAGTTGTCCTCCCCTCAGTCATTTGTGTCCATTGCCAGGGCTTTGTCCATGTGGATCCCTTGTAGCTGTCTCTGTTCTGGAAGTCCAATTTTGCTGCAGTTTTGATCATGTCACAACCTCTTCTATGGTTTTATTGTTCTGCTTGGGAGGTGGGTCATAGCTCTCAATTTTTAATAAAAACTGTGTTTTGATCACTGTTGCTAAGTAGCTAGTGTAGAGATTTTTAGGTGGAGGGTGGTTTTGTAGGAAAATTACTTATCTACACACAATGATTGCTCCGTAGTAAGATACAGGTAAGAGGAATGAGTGCCTAGAAGTGTTGTCTTCTCTTACTCCTCAGGTCTGGAGTTAAAATGACATTTTCAGCACTGCTGTCCAGAGAAGAGAATAGTTGGATTTGGGCTTTCCATTTTTAGTATCAGATGCAGGCTGAAATTGGCTACTAATTTACTGCCTTGCTTTTACTGTGCAGGTAGAGAATGAGTATGGAAGCTACTTTGCCTGTGACTATGACTATCTGCGTTCCCTTCTGAGGCTCTTTCGCTGGCATCTTGGGGATGAGGTGGTGCTATTCACGACTGATGGTGCAAGCCAGTTTCACTTGAGATGTGGAGCTCTTCAGGGTCTTTATGCAACAGTGGACTTTGCCCCAGGTTGGAGGCTGCGGTTGGTTACCAAAAAACTCTGTTGTGCGTGTGTTTGTTGCAGGAGAAACTGACTTGACTGCTTGACAAACACAACAGGTTTGTTTGAATGGGGTAATAGAATCATGGACTATCTCAAGTTGGAGGGGACTCATAAGGATTATTGAGTTCAGCTCCTTGGCATTTATATATGTTTGGTGATATCCAAGAATCACCTCAAAGTAACCAGTTAGATAGTCATAATTACTTTCTTGCATAATGAAATAATGAATAAAAAATGTACACTGCTCATAGCACCTATGTCCTAAAAACTAGCAATTTTGGCATTGATTGAATTGCTTTTTATGCTGATTGGAAGTAAAGCTCCTCTTTAGTCATAGCCTGGCTTCTCCTTCTCCCAATAACCTTCTCGCTGCAACTCCAGGCCTATACTTTCCAATGACTGAGTAGCAGACCCATCTCAACTTCTTGGTACCAGAATGTCATTGCTGGGAAAGCTGGGTTTTCAGAAGATGTATTTCAAAAGCAAAGACATATGCATGCATGGATACATGTATGTATATATTTTTAATAAGTTCTGCAACTTAAACACTGAAATCTGAAGTGACTTTCTTGTCTGGATTTTTACTAGTTGTTGAAAGGAAGATAAAGACACCTATTTCAGTTAAAGGAGGGACTGAAAAAGTCATAGGTGCCACATCTCAATTTTATTTCTATCTGCTTATAGGTGGCAACGTCACAGCAGCATTCTTGGCTCAAAGGAGCAGTGAACCTATGGGCCCTTTGGTATGTCATTTCACTTAAATTTCTTGTATCAGTCCCAATCTTGCAGTGTTTAATAAGAAAGGAGTTGACAACAATGTGTTGGACGGTTTTAGCATCATGTTTGCAAAGACGTAATTTCCAAGTCAGTCAGAAAAACTGGATAGAGGAACTTGTGTGTGTTTGCCAAATCCATGTTAACTGTTGTGCAAATAGTATTTTAGTCTTAAAAGGTATTGATTTAGTTTCAGTGTATTTCCTTGCTAAGGCAAATGTTTACAAAGCAGCGGAAACACTAAGTATGATTAGATTAGTGAAGTACATGTGTGGGTGGAAGTTAAAAGCAAAATGAAAAGGGCAGGTTAGAAGTTGCTTCCTGTTTTCAGCTACCCTAGAGGTTTCACACAGCTATAATGGAATGTGAGATCACTGTAAGCCATTTTGACAGAGGGACAAGGTCTGTTGGGGGTACAGGATTATCTCTGTGCTATGAAAATTGTTTAGAATGTGATTTCAGTATTTGAAAGAATTAATTTTCATTACATATAGTCTACATATAGTATACTGCAGAGATGGTATTGGTTCCATTATTTATCTGAATGCCAAGCATCTTGACAGGTTCCAAGGAAATCCATGCTGTTTGGTTCCTAAGCATTTATTTTCAAAGTGTTCCTATAAAATTATTGCAACAATCCTTTGATTTTTTTTGATTGGTAATCTGCTGAAAAAGACTGACTTGCTGTATTTATATTAGTTTAAACATGTCTGAAATGAGTCAAGGTGCCTTTCTCCTTCCCTCTTACAGTTAGTGACCTTAAATCACGTTGCATCCTGTTCTTGTTCCCTCTTCATGTTTTCCCTTCCTCTTTTGCCCTTCCTCCTTTCAGGTTAATTCTGAGTTTTATACTGGATGGTTGGATCACTGGGGGCACCGTCATTCTGTTGTGCCCGCACAAACTATAGCTAAAACACTTAATGAAATCCTGGCACGTGGTGCTAACGTTAACCTGTAAGTGTGTGTTCGTTAGAGGTTACATTTGTTGTTTTGTTTTTCCCCAGTTGAGCAAAACCTGATTTAAGGGGACTTTTTTTTTTTTTTCTTTTTAGGTACATGTTTATAGGTGGGACTAACTTTGCCTATTGGAACGGTAAGAGATTATTTAAATGATACTAATGGTGTAGGGCAGCTGTTTATGAATTAGGTAATAATGAACTCTGTGGAAGAATCACCTATGCCTGTTTTCACAAGGCAAAAAATGACTGTACTAGATGCTCTCAGTGTCTATTGCCAGCATGTTGTACTAAACCCACATGGTATTTATCTTTTCAAAGGCTATTTCTGCTTAGCTTAGTCCTGTAAAATAATTGAAACATGGATGCATTTGTTTCTCCTCAGAGTATTTCTGAGGACTGTATAACAGCAGTGTGAGCTCAGGACATCATCTTCCATTGGCAATAGTTTCTCTATGTCAAATACCAAGGCCTATATTGAATCTGAAAATGTAGCAGAGTCTGGCTGTGATGGGAAAGAATTCTGAAAGTTAATACCTTTGGAAAAAACCCAGCTCTTTCACTGTTTCGATTGCCTTTTTTTTTCCCCTTCTCACTTAGGTGCTAATATGCCCTATATGCCACAGCCCACTAGTTATGACTACGATGCTCCACTGAGTGAAGCGGGGGATCTCACGGAAAAATATTTTGCCTTGAGGGAAGTTATTGGTATGGTGAGTGTCCCTAGGACATGTTTAGAATGGTTCTTTGAAACATCCCTTGTTTACTGCAAATGTTCTTGCTCTTGTGTTGATATAAGTTACTTCTGAATTTACTGTTTCTGCAGGTAAGGGAAGTGAAGCAGAACGAAGTGATTAGGCCAACCTAACTGCTTGTTACAAAAGGAGAAAGCTCTTGCACCTCTCTGGCTATCCTTTCAGTCCTGATGGCTTCCTCCTTCCTTTCAGAGCTGGGGGTACAGGTGCAGGTCTGACACTGTAGTGATTCAGCTTTTCTTTTTTGCTGTGCTTGTTTCCTTTCAACTCGAGGTCAGTCAGCTGAATTGACTGTCTCAGTCAGATGAGAGCCAATGCTGGCACAAGGGGATCACAAGGCTGCAGGACAGGTTTGGATGGGAAGAGTAATGGAAGAGGAGTGAACAGAGGTTTTGCCCTTGCAACATCAATCAGCCATTCAGTCAGCTCAGGCTCATCACTCAGTGTTAGCCTGATATGGAGCACAGCTTGGTGCTTTGGCTGCCTGTATCTCAAGCTTCATGTTGTGGTTTTGGGCCTTTCTGACAAGGAGTGTGCTTATTCCAATGAACACATCTTGTTTTTGTGATGCAACAAACTGTAGCTACTGGGTGGGACTGGCTTTGCCTTGGCTGTAAAAATGCACAGTATCTCTACAAACTGGAGATTGAAGTGAAACATAGAACCTGTTATCAGGATTTTCAATATCCTTGCATTGGACACTGTTCAGATGAGGCTTAAAAACATTCTATGGGAATCCTAAGGCTGAAGCTTGTGCTTTCTGTCCTCTCACCTGTCAGCAACATTCTTACTCACTAGAAGATATTTTTTTTTTATGGCAGTAGATCTCCCCAAAGTGTATTAAGCTGTCTTTAGGTTTGACCATGATTTTATCTGCATACCTGTTGAAGGCCTGCTGTGGATAATTTTCTTCAATTTCCTAATTTCCCCTGAACTTTCCATTGATCAGATCATTTTGATAGCCTTTCAAGGGGAACCTCCTGTTTTGATAGAGCATTTCTTACCAGTGAAATTCCCAGACTTCCTGTTTATTTGTTTTCTTCAAGGCAAGATCCCTATCGGAACTCTAAGTAGTATTGTAGTGCACTGAGAGAACTTTGATAAGATCTGAAGTGTTCGGTATAACCTGAGGTGTGTTGGGTCATGGTACAGCTTTTTTTTTTTTTGGAGTGGTTTGTTTTTCTCTTACCTTCCATATTGATAGGATGTCGGTGAATTTTCCTGTCCCTGCTATGGGTTCTACACCTGTAGCAGTCTATTTGCTCAGTTGCAGTTTGAGGTGGAATGCAAGAGAGGAAATGCAGTTGCCTAGAATTAATGACTGCATTCCACATGTTAGGTGTGCTATAAGGCTGACATATTACAATCTTCATTTACTATTTCATTGAATTAATAAATATAATAAAGAATAAGAGTTTCAGTCTAGTTTCTTCTAATTGCTGACAGCGTTCTCTATTTTTTGCTATCTAAGCTGAAATTTCCTACTTTTGACTTATTCTCTGGACTGAATATGGTTTTTCTTTGCTTTAAGCCTGAGTATCTTGATTGTTTTAAAATATAGAGGTGAAGAAATGAATTTGTTACTGGAAATATAAATCAGGCTTTCATCAGTCCATAGTTGAGATTTGAGAGGAGGGCACTGGGAATTATACTCATGTGGTCTGGTTAAAAAATAAAATAAAATAGACCAACTAAAGAGAAAAACACCTGGTTTTAATGCAGAAGCGAGTGTTTGAGCATTAATTTTATTCTGGATACACCATGTGTAAGCCCAGCAAATAATGTAAAATCTCTAAGAACAATGCCCATTCAGCCCCTCACCAAATGTGTTTTAAAAAAACACTAGGTGCTGCCAAAGTAAGCACTCAGGAGTCACTGAATGTGCAGATTAAGATAACCTTCACAGGGCTGGTCATTTGTACGTGTGGATGAAAATGTAGGCTTAGATTGCTTGACCACATGGGTATCTTGTCTGCAGAAATTTTTTCTCTAATGTGCAGACAGAGGCATGTTCAGTAAATGAAAGAGCAGATGGGAAGAGTGGGCATTACAGGTGACAAGTTATGGCAGGGAAGGGAGAAGAGGATAAAGGCAAGGAGAAAATAAGGTTGTAGTTTCAGAGAGAAGGAGGATGGGGCAGAAAGCCACTGTAGGCTTGCCACATGGGCTGAGAGAGTTGGGATGGTTCAGCTGGAGAAGAGAAAGCTCCAGGGAGACTTCATAGCATCCCTCCAGTACCTCAAGGGGCTACAGGAAAGCTGGGGAGGGACTTTTTACAAGGGCTTTTAGTGAGAGGACAAGGGGTAATGTATTAAAACTTGAACAAGGTAGATGTAGTTTAGACATTAGGAAGAAATTCCTTCCTGTGAGGGTGGTGAGACACTGGAACAGGTTGTACAGGGAAGTTGTGGAAGCCCCATCCCTGGAAGTGTTCAAGGCCAGGTTAGATATGGCTCTGAGCAACCTGGTCTAGTGGGAGGTGTCTCTGCCTATGGCAGATTGGTTGGAACCAGATGATCTTTAAGGTCCCTTCCAACCCAAACCATTCTATGAAAGTGGTGGACATCCTTCAGCCATTGTCTGTGCTGATCTCAGGTGGTTCTTCCTGGAGATAGAGTGCAAGAAGTAAGCAGAAATAGCCCAGCAGTAAGAATGTTTACCTGTCATGTTTCCAAATTATGATTGGGCAGTTGTCTAGACCAGGATCAGTGGGAAGCCAAGGATGGGACCTTAAAGTTTCATGGACCTGTGGAGGAGATTGTGGTCTCAAAGAATCCAGCCCAGGCAGTAATGGATTAGCAGGTGGTAGTGGTAGTGGAGCATAGTAACACTGAAAGGAAGGGCACAAGAGGCTTATAATGCCCCTATGGTAGTGCTGCTAAGGAGGGAGCAGGTTTAAAATCTGCTCTACAAACTTGGAAAGGTTAACTTAAGCTCCCATGGACTGAGGAGGCCACTGCAGCTGGGTTGTAGAAGACAGTAATGCAAACTCTAGCCACCGGAGGTCTCCAAGGGCACTGTGATTCTTTGACAGCTGGTTTGTTCGGTGTTGTTCTTTCTGTTACCCTGGAGTTGAATAGTTATTAAAAGTTTTGCCGTATGTGATCAAGTCAGATGCAGGGATTCTTTTAAACCCTCCATCTTAGTATAGATGCAACTGTAATCCTCTAATACAGTGAGATTATCTACTTTTAGCCAAAGTTCTAGCTTTGTAAGTTCTGAAGTAGAAAGTTAAAATTCAGTTAAAGCATGTTGGTGTTTAAGTTTTATGTGTTTGTTTTTTTTCCTTCTTCTCTTTGTAGTACAAGCAGTTACCAGGTGGTTTTATCCCTCCATCAACACCCAAATTTGCATATGGATATGTTCGCTTGCAAAAGGTAACTTAACATCTGTAATATGCTGTGTGTTTTTCTGTGGTGCTGTATATTGGCTTTTTGCAAAAATAAATGTTGATGAGGATGTCACAGCAGTCTCTAGGTATCATACAAAATAAAGAGGAAAATATTGAAAGCAAAATTCCGGGAAGGAGAGAGCAGAGCTTGGGAATCAGAGTCAAGCCCAGTGGCGGAAAATGAGAAAATGTGTTATCTGGATGTAGCAAGATAATTTTTTCAATATGCAGTATGTGCCTGAAGTTTTATTAAGCTGAAATTGATCTATTATTAACAGAATTATAGTTGTTCAAGATAAGTTGTGTATGGGTCATCTCACTGGGGGATTGCTATGATGAGAGCTATGAGCAAAGAGTGGTTTTGTAGCTGGTTGTGCCTCTGAAGTAGAAGCAGCAGGTGGGATATGTATACCTTTTAAATACTTCTAGGTGTTGAATTTTTAAATATGAAGCATTTATTATTAAGATTTTCAAATTTCTTGAAAAGTTTCATACAGGATTTGTGAAAATCTGTAGCTGATGAGGAAACTTAAATTAGTTTCCTGATGAGGGAAAAGCATGCAGAACCCAGCCTTGCTATATCCTGTCTGACAACTGTGGTATAAGTTGTCAGCACATGAGTAGCTGGGGTTTGTCCATAGCACCATTGTTTTCTGTGAAATACAGTTGAGAACTAGGTTCCTGCAGTGAGTGTAGAGTATGGTTTGAGTGGGGGATGGAAGAGACAGCAAGTACCAACTTGGCTGTATTCATTCTGCGGTGTACAGACAAGTTGTTTTGAGGTGGAGGATTACTGCAGTTGGTGTGCTGGATACTGTAGTTCATAATGCTTTGATTTCATACTGTGTACTTTTAATTTAGCAGCTACCTTTCCAATCAGTGATGTATCTGGTCTGCTACGCACTGCAGCTGAAGTGCTGCGAAATTCAGTACTGATAAGGCTTTGCAGGCGTTTTCAAGTCATCCCACTCAAGTGGTGGGCAGGAAAACTTCTTATGTAGGACTGATTCACCAGTGAAGATGAAACAGATCTTTATCATTTTCAGCAATCTTTCTGTGTCTTCATACCTTGTAGGGCAGGGGTTGCCATGTGAGGTTTCAATGAACTGGCTTATACCTGGTGGTGACTAATTATACACAATTATCAGTCCACCCACCCTGTCTATTGCTGTCATAGGTTGCTGGTTTTGGGGAGGCTAGCAATCAGATTTTCACTCTCCCATCTTCTCATGGTTCAGGGTTCTCAGATAAGGCTGTCCAGTTTCACTAGAAGGATTAACTTTGTTTTTCATGTCTGGAAGAAATGAATGCAGCAGGGTGCTTGGCCCAGACAACTGCCTTACGAAGTCAGATGACTAAACTTGCTCAAATATTGCAGCTCTGATCTGGCCGTCATACTGGGAGCCCTGTTCCTGTACCTTCTTACCTTCTACACTTCTAGCTTTTGTGTGAGGAGGTGTTTAACTCTCCACCCAGCAGTTTTATGAATCCAGATGGCATGTCTAAACTACCAGGTGTGAGGTTCCTGTCATTGCCTGTACATATATACTGCCATCTGCACTGAAAGCCTCTAAAATTGTTTTCTGGAAAGGCAGCTGCTTTTTGCTCCATGAACCCACTACCTAATTCAGCAGCAGTTTAATCTTCTGCTTGGTTAAGCTGCAACACAGAATGAGTCTCATATCACAGAGGGTTTGTACCATCCCCACCAATGCTGGCCTCCCAACTCAGTCATTCATTCTAGCCTCTCCTGGGACCAGGTCCAGTGCACCTTGTTGTATGGAGAAGCCTGAATATATTTGGGTGAATATCAGAGAAGGGATATTCTAAATTATAAGACTTAGCTTTGGTAATGGTTACCTTCCCATCTGTATTGTTTGCAGTGATGGTGCTAGAACAGATACTATGTGAAGCTTCACATAGTGTTGAGGTCCAGCAGTCAGCCTGCTATGCAGAGCATTGTGAGTCTACTTCAGTGAGCCAACTCCCTCGACTTTTTTGCAGAAAGGAAGAGAGAAAGGAGACTCCAGAGTATTTTGAGGAGTCATATGGTGTAACCAAAGGAGGCTGTTCTCTATTTTTTTCCACAAGATATTCTGTGACAATTCAGTTCTTAAGTACCTGATCAGCTACTTGGGATCTAAACTTGAGGAAAAGAGATCTTTGCCTTAAGTAGTGCTTCCTCTCATATTTAGTGTTTTTGGAGGTTTGCAAATAGGTTACCTCAGATGAAAATAATTGTCAACCTCTAAGTCTACTTACTGGTGGGGCAGTGTGAGAAGCCAAAGTGACCTTAATGCTGTGTAGGCACTGCTCAGCAATAACTAAAATATCCCCATGATATCAACACTGTTTTCAGCACAAATCCAAAACATAGACCCATAAAGATATTACAAAGTAGTTTAACTCTGTCCCAGCCAAAAGCAGAGCTGTGCTGAAGAAATAAATACAGGTACATAGATGATTCATGCTGACTTCAGTCACATACAGAATTTCACATCGTAATGTACATTTTCATGTATGCTTTAATATTTCAGCACTGCTGAATGTCCTGTATGTTCTGCAAAAATTCAATATTTCTGTTACTGAAATAGCCTCAGAAGTTTGTTGTCATCAATGCTCTTGCAGTATACAGTTTAACATGATTTTAAATGCCTAAATACTTCTTACTGTTTTTTCTCAAGCATTTGAAAGTAAAACTGCATTTGAGAAATACTTTGAATGTCTGATACGTAATTACCACTGAATAGTGACATTACTTCTAGTGAAACAGACTGACATTTTACATGAAAAACATTAATTAAATTGATTTTTTGAGCTTGTAAGACACTAGACATTGTATGCATCTTGACTAATAAATTTGATAGTGGACTTTGAGACTTGTAGTTGGGTAGAAAATTATCTAATCACAAAAGGAAATTGCAGATGGCACCAAAAGGCAGTTTAATTGTGCATATGTAAGTCCTTACTCAGGAAGGTACTTGTGCACATGACTAGCCTAAGTCTTGCTCCTAGTCTCACTAAAGTCAGTCCAGCTACTTATCTGTGATACTGAGTTACAGTTTTAGGGTTTCTAAAATCATTTAAGAATGAATAAGGTAAATTAATCTTGGATAACTCTTGATGGAATCAAATTGCCTCCCTACTTAGCTCAGATTGACTCCAGAATAACTTGCTGGAAATCAGCAGCACTTTCCCTCATGCAATTTTAAGTATAATTGAGCAAAATTTAGATAATAGTTATTTTGTATCAATTTTCCAGAACAGCTGTGTTTGTTTATAGAACTTCTGTGAGAAACTCCTGGGTTAATTCTCATTAAATAATAAAGGATTAGTTTTATTTTTATAAATGCATAACAAATTTAGAACAGATGGATTTATAAAAAACATTGCTCCACATGTAGCATGTTTCTTTCAGAGTTCATCAGTTCTCTGCTCTGTATTGTATTATTAATGTGTCTGTAAGGATGATGTAAAGGCTTTCTTTGCTTTCTGGAGAGGTGCAGCTGGCTCGCTGCAAGATGTTATACTTGGATTGAAATTTACTGACCTTCATATGCTTTTTCTATGCTGCAGGTGGGCACTGTGGTAGAGGTTCTTGACAGGCTGTCACCTGCAGGACCAGTGAAAAGCACTTATCCATTAACCTTTGTTCAGCTAAAGCAGGTGAGGATTCCTTCAGCAGGCACTTTGCAGTAATTTTGTTTATTTGAACAACCATCTGTGGTTTGACACTTCTGATGTCCAGTGTCTTACATCTTTTCTCAACACAGAAGTAATAGTATTATACATGTGTTCAGGATTCTTGCGCTGGAGACCTTTCCGTGTTCCACAGTGCTCCTGTTTTGCACGTGAGGTTTTCCTCTTTCCATGAATGTAGGTATAATATATGCTGTTCAGGCTTTCACCTTTCAGTCACTCCTCTCTGAAGTATTGATTTTCATGTTCTCAAAATACTTTTTTTTTAAATTCTTCTTTTTCTTCACTATTATCTTTCCTTATCTTATTTTTTCTTTGCTTCTCTCCACCTGCCATCAGAGTGAGCACAGTGGCTGAGGCACTGCTTTCTGATGCAAGGCCTGGAGATCAGGGATGCAATCCATTTCACACACCTATGGGCCTCCTAATTATTTGTAGTCCTTTTCGTATGTAGGGTGAAGCAAGAGAATGCAACTAGAGAAGCCTTTGGGAGCAACCTCTTAGAGCTGTTGCAGCCCACTGTCAGGGTCATTCACCCCACTGGTTGAGACAGGAAAAATCCTTTTTTCTGCATTTTTCTTTGGCTTCTGCTGAGTCACACTCACCCCTGTGTTCCCCCTCTGTTAGTTTCTGCATTGTTTTCCCTGTCATTTTTTGTGACTTTCCCCGTCTTCCCTCACAGTTGAAGATGTCTCCTTTGCTGCTCAGGGATGCTGTCTTCATTAAGGTTACATGGCTCCTTGATTGCTTCTGTGCTGAGTTTCACAGAGACTGGAGTATGGGTGCTAACTGCCTGCAGCTAATTTAAACAACTTAAAGGGATGTTGGTAGTAGCTGGAAGAGGGGAGGAGAGACTGGATCAGCAGATGCTTGGGATATGACATTAGTCAAGTAGGGGTTCAAAGCTTAGATTTTTCCTTTCCAGGCCACTGGAGGAGTAAGAGAAGCTGCAGTGTAGAATGTTGTGGCTGGATGTAATTTCTAGTGGACTTTTCTCTCTTGTCCTCTGGCCTTCCCACCCTTAGTGCTTTCCTTAGGAAAACAGAAAAGAGAGCAGCCAGCAGAGCTTCCTACAATAGTATTTTAAATGTTTTTTACTTTATCTCCCCCCTCATTTCTGGCCACCTCATTGCAAATGTAATGCAAATATAGTAGTTACAGCAGAATGGAAGTTGCTTACTCTCATTTCTTCCTGCCAGGGTTATTTCTGATACAAGTTTTGAAGAAAAATGGTTTTGTGGCTACTGAGTGAAAGAGACAATACATTTTTTAATTTGTTTTTAATTTGTGTTTCAATTTGTGATGAAAACAAATCCAATGACTGTGACTTGTTTTCCTTCCTGATGGGCAACTTAGTGAAAAAGAAATGTCCTTGATGTAAATCCAGTAGTTTTAAAAATAGATAATATCAATTTGATGAATATGTCAGTTTATGGGCACTGGGTGACAAGTGCACGTCCTAGTTTGTTATATAAACTTGATTATGAAGTGATTTTCCAGCTATCTTTTAATTTATTTTGATGAAGAAATTTTACTGTCAATCATTAACTGCTTTGTTTTTATTGAGAAAATACTTTCATAACTAAGACCCTTTTCTTTTAAAGTTATGTATATGTTCTGATGAAACATTTTAAAATGGAATCTCTGTGGAATTTACACCCATTACTTAAAGGTCAAAGTAAACTGTAATCTGAAGCTAGTATCTGTGGTAGATGCTATCTGAAGTGAATGAAAGTTAACATTTCAGTCCAAGCACATAGGCAGAGATGTGGTATATTTCTAATTCATGACCTGAGCTGAAGCTACAGGATTTCTTGGTTCAATAATCTGTAGGGTTGTGTGTTTGTTTTTTTTTTCTTTTCTTAGTATTTTGGATTTGTGCTGTACAGAACTATTCTTCCAAAAAACTGTACGGAGCCAACACAACTGTCATCACCTTTAAATGGAGTCCATGATCGTGCCTATGTCTCCGTAGATGGGGTAAACATTGTTTGCTGGAATTCATTTCTGCTGGGAGGGGCCTTCACAGAAGTCATGGATACAGTCTGCCTGTTGTTTTTTTTCCCCTCCTTTCTCCAGTTTACCAAACCAACTTTATTAGATAATCTTATTTAATTAGATGAAGGAAGTATACAGTTGACTCATACTAAATGTTCATAATAATATTTCAGAAAATATGTAAATCTGTTATTTGTAAAGAAAATGTCATTGTTTCAAACTTTGAAATATTTGAATGTTGATATAAATTCATTACTTCAATGGAAAAAATACAAACCTAGAATAATGGTTTACTTGCATGTTCATTAAATACATTAATGATTATAGGCATGGTGGCTTTTTTACAGTGTTTCCATAGATTTTTTAACTTTTTTTTTGTTCTTCTCCCAACTTTATTAGATAATCTTATTTAATTAGATGAAGGAAGTATACAGTTGACTCATACTAAATGTTCATAATAATATTTCAGAAAATATGTAAATCTGTTATTTTTAAAGAAAATGTCATTGTTTCAAACTTTGAAATATTTGAATGTTGATATAAATTCATTACTTCAATGGAAAAAATACAAACCTAGAATAATGGTTTACTTGCATGTTCATTAAATACATTAATGATTATAGGCATGGTGGCTTTTTTACAGTGTTTCCATAGATTTTTTAACACTTTTTTTTGTTCTTCTCTTTTTTTTTTTCCTTTGAGGGTGGAGGGAGGAGAAGCCTGAGCCAGTCTTATCTTGTGAAACTGGCTTCTGACCACAAGTTAACAAAAAAAAAAGGTTATTGTATGGGTTTTGAACTTTGCCTTTCTTCTCTTAAGTAGGGTTTTGTTCCTGCTTAATAATCATGGACTTTCACAACCTATTTTTTTTTCAATTATTCTTTGACCTGTGCTGACTCTCATCACCTTTGTGCCCAGGCCAAGCTCTTTTTTCCTTATGTTGTTGGAATAAATAAATCTAAATATTGATGTGATCTTAATTGGAAGATGAAGCACCTTTTAATTACTGAAATTGCCAAAATTGTTTCAGTCACAAGACTAAATTTGAGAACTTGCTTTTTGTGAATTGTGTGCATAAAAACGACTGGAGTTCTAACATGGTTATTGGGTTAGTTGATTGACTCAGTTGGATTCACCTAAGGAAAGAGATGATGTAAGTTAGGCAAATGCTGCCTAGTAGCACATCCAATTGATGTACTGAAATGTGAAGATTGACGTTGCAGCTTTTTGTGTGTGTCTGTCTCCCATGCAAGAGGAAAGGAAATTTTTTTTTTACTTCTGTTTCGTTTGTCCCCTTGCTTAATGAAAGTTGAAGAGACAACAGTTTTGTTGGTTTTCAATGGTTATTTCCTTCCTCTTGGTGTAATTCATATAGGTTCCCCAAGGTGTCCTTGAAAGGGACAAATCACTTACAATAAATATAACTGGGAAGGCTGGAGCAAATCTGGACATCTTGGTAGAAAATATGGGCCGTGTCAACTTTGGTAGATACAATAATGACTTTAAGGTAAGTAAAATCAATGTAAGTTGTTGGATTGGGGATGTCTTTTCCTCTTTTCCACAGGTTAAAAAGAAAATGGGTTAGAAAAATAAAAAGGATCAGCATTACACAGCTGTCACTTTACCTCAAAATATAACTACTCACTAGTTTTCATTTGAGTTTTTCCAGTCACTGAACTCAAAGTGAAATTAAAAACTGACAGACAATTTAAATTCTTTGTTGGTTCACTTACATTGCCAGCCAAAATGTCACCCACAAGACTTTCAGGTTGAATTGAGCCTGTAGGTTACATTTCAAAATGTGCAGAGCTGTTTGGAGAAACTCAAAAAATGGGTTGGGAATCAGTCTAGATCTTGGTTGTACCTCTGGGTTTGTGAATCCTGGGACTGTATTTGTGTGTGTGTGAATATATACACACACATATATGTATATATATCTGCTTTTATATCTCTTTTCATGACCCATTTTGTTTGTCAGGAGCGTTTCCTTGCAGTATTTTCAGTGTGTCTAGGAAAGACTGTCTCACTAGCATTTTACCATGCAAAATTTCCAGTTCATATTTGGACAACTGCCAGTTCTGGTTTGGACTGATCAGGTGTTAGAGGTAATAATCAGAAAGCTTCCACATGCTTCTGGGTCTGTGCTACACTTTAGGACTGTCACCTCCCAACATGAGTGACTCTGGCGGGTTGACCTTGGCTGGCTACCAGGTGCTAAGTTGCTCTGTCACTCCTCCATCAACAGGACAGGGAGAAAATATGATTAAAAGCTCTTGGGTTGAGAAAAGGACAGGGCTATCATGCAGCAATTACCATAATGGCCAAAACAGACTTGGGGAAATTAATTTATTACCAGTTAAACAGATAAGGAGAATGAGAAATAAGAAAAATCTTAAAAATTCACTTCCCTCCCCCACCCTTCCCTTCCTCCTGGGCTCAACTTCACTCCTGACTCTTCTTGCTTCTTCCCCTGAGAGGTGCCAGGGGGATGGGGAATGGAGGATGTGGTCAGTTGATAAAACTTTGTCTCAGCCACTCCTTCCTCACACTCTTCCCTGCTCCAGGGTGGCATCCAGCCCACAGGATTGCAGTCCTTAATGAACTTCCCCAATATAGGTCCTTCCCATGAGTTGCAGGTCTTCAAGAACTGCTCCAGCATGGGTCCTTTCCATGGAGTGCAGTCCTCTGCTTCAGGATGGGTCCCCCAAAAGGTCACAGCTCCTATTCCTGCATGGGCTCAATCATAAAACATAGTCTGGAAAGAGACTTGCAAGTTTTAGGTATTTTGTGCTTTCAAAAATAATTTTAGGGGAAGAGATTCGTTCTTTGGGAAGCCTTGCATTTTTAAGCAAATGGGGTAGCTTTTCTGGCTTTTGTTTGGCTGGGTCTTTGTCACTTTTTTGAGCTTGAAAGGGGACTAGGCATCTAGCTTTTGGGAAGGAATCTTAAGAGTTTTGGTTTTAAAACATCCTGCTAATCGAAATCTTGTTGTTGAAGGACATAAAGGAAGAGTGTGATTTGTGTTTTTTCTATATTTTTTTTCTCGTGCTCACTGTGTCCTATATAATTGTTTTACTTGGAAAATTTATGTCCATATCTACACTGTTGAATATGCATTCTTATGCAGATCAAACCTCATTTGGAAGATCATACCATTCGTAGTGCCTAAAGAATGGGCTTAGGGAGGCAGATTAGAAAGTTTGGGCTGAAGTGTGTTGCATTGCTCCAGTTGATTGCTAAACAAGGTGGGGTCTAGGTTGTATGGAAAATTTTTTTGCCTTTTAGCTGTGCAGATATTTGGATATAAGAAAAATAAGTTCCTGTTCTGTCAAGTGGGCATCTAGGTAAAGAAAGAGAAAACTAATAAGTGCTTGTACTGATGATGAGGCTTATGGAGTCAGTGCAATGCTTTTTAGACACTAGAACAGACACATGACATAATTTCAGCTCTCCAAGGCCATAGAAAATGTGGTTTTGTCTGTTCCTGTTTGACATCTGGTGTTTGCAGCAGAACTGAAGTTGCACTGAAAAACAGCTTCTATGCAGGGTCTACTCAAGCGATTACATGGAAGTAGCAGCATTTGTTTAAAATTAGCCCCTTGCATTGCGCTGAAACGCAACTTTAGAAACTATTATTATAACACAATTAGGGTGTGTGCAGGGGTAACCTGATGGTCCTTTCACTCTTAAATCATGACCGTACCTTGCTTTTGCATTCATCATGTGAGGATGCTGGTGTGCAGCACAAATGGTTCCATGGAAATGAAACAGGACTCTGTGGGCTTGCAGAGAACTGTAAGCTTAAAGTATTTCACTGAACCAGGTCAAAAAGCATGTGCCTTGATTTTTTGGTACTGTAAGTTAGCTGTAGAAGATTCACGGGAAGTAAAATATTGCTTTCTCTGCTGTTGTGCAGGTAATGTCTTGTGTTAGTGACTCAGTGTTACCAAATCTCTTGATGGTATCTCAAACTTATGATATTTAATGCTTTTTTTTTTTTTTTTTTCTTTTTAATAAGCCCCATGTTTTGGAATAATTTTCATTTCAAAAGAAAACAGACACTTTCACGGTTAGGGGAAAAACGTTTGAAAAAAAACCTTGGACACTGTTGAAAGTGCAAAACTTTGAAGAGGAACAAATCTTTCAAGAGAGTAAATGAAACTTTATTTTTAAGCAATTCTTATAACTTGGGGAAGACCAGTTGCTTGGCTTCATATACAGATTGGCAGCTGTTACCAGAACTTTGATTCAGTTTTTATTCCCAACTGATTTATAGTTGCAGCCAAGTGACTTCAATAACATGAAGCTAATTATGTTATGTTTTGGTGTGTTTTCTTCCTCTCTTCCTAGGGTCTAGTTTCAAATTTAACTCTTGATGAAGATATACTTGTTGAATGGGAAATGTATCCTCTAGACATAGATGGAGCAGTGAACCGTGACCTTAATGGCTACCTTGACGGAACATGGAGACTTTTTGGCAATCTACGGGGTTATGAAGCACCTACTTTTTACACTGGTAGACTTTCAGTTCCTGGAGGGATTCCAGACTTGCCTCAAGACACCTATGTCAAGTTTCCTGGCTGGACAAAGGTACAACTTTTTGCTGTACAAACTTGAAGTCCACTCAGGAAACTACTAAAACTTCTATGGATGATCAAAGTCCATCTCTCTCTGATTAATAGAAGTTGGTTGTAGTGGTGGGGTGTCTCAAATATATTTAAATGGCTAGGAAATGGATTCCTTGCTTTAAGTAAATCTGGAGATAAATCATTAAGAGAAGGGAAACATATTCAGAAGATACATGGTATTGGTCTAGAAGGTGGCGCATCAAAAAGAAGCCCCAAAATGTATTTTTTTTTCAACAGTAAGAAAGTCAAACTGTCAGGTCAAAAAGAAGCCCCAAAATGTATTTTTTTTTTTTCAACAGTAAGAAAGTCGAACTGTCAGACTATTTAGAAATGCTGCATTTAGCTGTGTTGGGGTTTTTTGCTTGCTTTTTTTTTGTTGTTTGTTTTGTTTTGGTTTGGGTTTTTTTTGAGTTATGGAACAAAAACAGCTTTTTGGAGGGAGTAAATACATGCCATGAAATGAAACAATTTTTTATTCTGGAGGAGGTGAGATGCTACAGGACACTTTCCTGGTCATACGGATTGACCTAAGATTGAACTAAGAACATACTTGCAATGTTATGTGAGGACTATATATCCTGTTACAAAGCAGAGAGCGTGTTGGACACAGCTGCTGGTGTTGTGCCTGTAGATGTGGATTCAATTCAAGGAAGCTGTTACTGCTTGTCTTCTGGAAGTTACCTGTAACTGGACTGAATGGATCAGAGAGCATTGCCATGAGAAGCTTGTGGACAGATCTCTGTCAGTAGGAACTTCTCATAGGGCTGGAGCATAGCTAAAGCAGGAGTGTGTTTTCACCTTGCCGTGTTTGAAACAGCCATCACACAGGAAGGATAAGGACCAGCTCAACTAGCTGGTGGGAAGTACAGAGAGCAGAATGTTTGCACTGAAGGACCACTCATCTTGGAGGCCTCAGTGTTTTAAGTCAGGGGGGTGCCTGTCATGGTTTTAGGTAGCCTTTTCTGAATTAAGCCTTTCTGAAACAACTTAGTGCTATCGAAACAGAGTAGGAGAAGGAGTTGGTGGTGATCTGTCTACAGCATTGTAGTGCATAAAGCGCTTCCCAATATGCAGAAGACCATGACTCATTGCAGGCACTTAGTGTTGCTGTCACTCAGCTTGGATGAGGAAGTCTGACTTAGCCCCTGTTCCTATATATATATGTGCATATCTTATGCAATGGCTAAATAAAATTTTTAAATGGGACAGAAACTGTAATCCTGAGACTTTTGCAGTAAATTCTGTGACCCCATGAACTATAAATCTTGTTCAGGAGGCAGGGTGACCATACCTGCCTGTTGGTAAACTCATCTTTGAAATGGCAAATTAGTCCAAGAATTCTCATGTATTGGTGGAATAATTTCCTCTTAAGCAGAGAAACTTCTGTTTTACTCACTTTGTATACTCTCTAAAGCAATCAAGGTGCCTGTAACTAGGGCCACAAAAATAACCCTTCAAGCTTTATATGGATGTGATCAGTTTTAAATAAGATACCTAGGACTAAGATTGAGGTGATATTGGCTGTGGAAACTGGGACTTGCAGGTAACTTTACCAAGGAGCAAATGCCTTTAAGGCAGAGGGCTGTAAGGGTTTAAATTTTACTCAGGCCCCACTGGATCTGGGCCTGTATTCTTTGAGTGTTGCTGTATAAATTCATGACAACAAATTTGAAGAGAGACTTTTAACAGGGGTTAAAACCTATCTGAGCAGTTGGAAAGCCATGGAAACAACACTCAAAAAGTGTTTTTACCATACAGTTCTAGTGATGATCCTCCCTTTGCACGTTAAGTCAAGGAATATGGTGTATTGGACAGCCTGGAAGAAGGGTGCAGCATTAACCATCATGACCTATGTTGTGGCTCACTTGCCTTCAGTGGTTTTTAAACCCTTCACTGTAAATAAACTTCCTCACCCCTTGCTTGAGGAAGCACAGTGCCCTTAAGGATACGTGCCCTGAATGCCTGGTGACATTTATTGGTCTTTTTCTTCAAGAGAATAAAGAATTTAGAGTCAGGACTGTTCCTTATTTCTGTGGAATTGTGTGTTGTAGTTGCTGACCCTGCTGAAGGAAATCTTGTTACTGAAGACTGTATTTTTTTTCTAGGGCATATTGGTAGTACGTATAGTATCGTGATTTGCTGGTTTAAAGCAGCCAAATGCCTGAGTGTGCAGTCTTTAGAAATGGCAATTTTAATAAGGACAGTTTGGAATTGAGAAATTAAGTTCATAGCTTTACTGGAAAAATGAGTTACAACCAGTAACTGGTTAATATCAGAAATGAAGATCAGTCTGATCATACCTCCTGCACTAGAACTCTAGTGCAGATGATTACTACAGTGAACTTCTACTTCTCCCAGGCTTATGGTCATTCTCTCTACTAGGTAGGCTACTGTCTGTTGGCTACACTCACTAATTCATTTTGTGAGGTGGGGAAGATTGTGTTAATGCCAGGTTTTTTCTAAAACTACTGCAGAAGCAGAGTAGTGAGCTTGAATAAACAACTCGTCTCTTTTAATGTAGCAAAACCAAGCCACAAAGTAAGATAAACTTGGTTTAAAACAAAAAAAAAGGAAAAGTTTGACCTCAAAATTTATTAACACCTCGGCAGTACTGTGCAAGATAGGATCTTATACCACGGAAGTGGATACACAGCTCACTGCATTTGCAAATGTATCAACTCCTTATAAAATTTCTTTTGTGAGTTTTGTAAGATGTTTTCTTAAATACTTGAGAAAGAGAACACTAGACAAATACCTCCAAAACAGCTTGAAACCAATATTCACTATATTGCAATTGTGCTTCTGTAAATTCTTTAAATGTGTTATTCTGATTTCAACTCAGAGAATTTTAGAAATCGCCACAAGTGCAGTAAAAGTCTTGACTTTCCACTGATTCAGACTATTTTGTTATTTTTATCAGCGTACATCAATGCTGTGGGTTAGTTTTTCCTCTGTATTCTGATTACCAAAGGCCAAAAATGGCAAACACAGATGCAGTTACTTGTTCCCATCCTTTTTTTGTGTCCACTGAACTCATTTGACATATGGTGAAAAGACACTTAGGAGGAGTACAGCAAATTGCTTGTCTAAATCAACTGTATATCCTCCCTTATGTCTTGTTGAGTGAACCAAGATTCAGCTCAACTTAATAGAAGACTGTCTGCAGTTTTACTGAACATACTGCAACTCCTCAAATTATAAACAGTTTAGGAAACATTTGCATTTGTGTCACTTGCTGTGTGTTTTTACAAGTTATTTTGTTGACTAAGCTGTTAAAAGTATAGTAGGCACCGGAATGTTATGTGTCTAGAAAAGCTCTGTATTTTTCATGAAACCATGTAATGGGAAGGGACTACCAGGATAATGTGGTCTTACACTTGGACAGATACCCACAACAGTATTAGGATTTGCTTTTTTCTTTTGTGAGTTCTTTCTCCTTTTAACAACCAGCTTCAAGCAAATATAATTTTCAGGTTTGCTTTGTTCCAAAACTTGGTACAAAAATTCAGTGCCAGGAACCTGCAATTCTCTTTTCCTAAGTATTGTAATATTTGTAAATACTGCAGTATTTGAACGCTTCATTTTAAATATTAATGATAGCTTTTACTCATTGGGCAGTTTAGATTCTTTAGACTGTCATTAGCCTTTGCTTGAACAGATTCTTTGTCCTTGTGTTCTATCAAACTGAAAGATGGAGGAAATTCAGTTACTGTGTGAAGACCGTTATGCTTAAAGCATGATGAGTAAGTGCTATGCATCATTTGATCTCTGACAAAATATTAAAATGTCATTGTTTTTTCTTTCTCTCTTAACAGGGGCAAATTTGGATCAATGGCTTTAATCTTGGTCGCTACTGGCCAGCCCGTGGTCCTCAGTTGACCCTTTTTGTTCCAAGGAATATACTTGTTTCATCGGAGCCAAACAACATAACTGTGTTGGAGCTGGAGCATTCTCCTTGCAGCAGCCAAGCATGTGAGATAGAATTTGTAGACAAACCTAGTATCAATGCAACTGTACATCATAAAAATTCTGCCCTCCAACTTTTTCTTAGAAACGCATGGCTGAGCCATCTATAAAGACTTGAGTATTTACTTATCTTTCCCCACTTTGCTTCCCTTTCCTTCAAACTATACTTTCCTTTTTTAAAGACTCAATCAGTAAGTTATTTAGCTGAGGCAACTTTTTAAATTCTTCAAAGACTCTTTAAAAAAAAATAAATCTGCCAGAGTTAAATACTGAAATTCTCTTAAAAAAATAAAAGCTGTAGCTTGAGCATTTGCCTTGGACTGTGAAATTGAACTCAACTGGAAGGTAACATTTACATCAGTTTAATACAAGAGTAGTCCTTGTAGGCTGCTTACCTTCCAGGAACCCTCTTACAGGTTTATTTTTTTTACCACGTTTTGCAACTGAAGAGGAGCCTACAAATGGGGCGTACAGCCCCACTTGCTTGCTGTTTACTCATGTGGACTGCTAGGTCAGAGCTGTCAATAGACTAGACACTTAGAGCTGATCTTATAATCTGGTTAGTATCAATAGTGTGAAGGGTCTCACTGCCAGCGTTAGGCAGACCTCATTTTTTTCACCTCCATGAAAGTGACCCTGGAAAAATTTCAGTTGGCTTCTCATGGGAGCAATGAGAAGAACTGTAGAAGAGAGCACTCGAATGCAAGCTGATCCAAACAGCAGTAACATGGAGGGACCTTTTAGTCTGCACCTGTCCCCTCTTGGAAGGCAAATTTGCTGCTTCCCTTCTGCTATCTCTTAAGACTTCAAGTAAATTGATAAGTCCAAGGACACACACAAAATTCAGGCTATTTTAGTTGGACCATAGCCTCTGATTAACCTGGATGCAGAATGTAGTCTTAAAATGAAACATGTTGCCTTTTAATTGACCCTCCCCCCTTTTTTTTCTCTGCTTTATTTTCCCCTCCTCTCTAAGTGACCAGGAGTACCTGTTTTTCATAAGCCATCACCTTGGAAGTGGAAGGCTTTAAGTTAAAGTTTAATTCTCTTTTAGTCATTAATTCACATCTTCTCTTTTGTCCCAGTAAACTGATAATTTTTGTAAGTGCCTGATATTCTCAAAGATGCATAATCTGTCAGTAAAGCTGATTTTCCACAACTAACAATCTTCTTTTTGATTCTTATGGGTTTAATGTCAATCATGCAAAATCCTTGTTGAGATTTAGACAACAAAAGATTAATATGATGGAAACCACAGATTATGAAAATATTCCATTCTTCCCTTGATTTTTGTCTGACATAATTAAAATGGTTCTTGAAAGATTAAATCCTTCCTGTGTTTGTTTGGGAAGGAAAAAGGGGATGAGGAATAGTACTGAGCAGTTGCGGTATTAAGGGAGAAATGAGGTTATGAAGCCTCTAAGGACAAGGAGTTCTTCTTGGTGTCTCATTTGTTTTCTGTGTTACGAAGGTATATGCAAAGTAAAGCAAAACAAAGTAGTTGTAATGGGCTGTGTGGACCCCCAGGGTGCCACCCTTTTGTGATATGGTCACTGCAAAAACATTTCTTCTCAGCTAATAAGGACTATTACTGTCACCTGAGGAGAGAGTGAGAATGAGCTCTACTCTCCTGAGTATCGACATCTCAGCTGTGTGTTTGATGAGCTTGCAAACCAGACACATGTGGTTCACCCAAGCCAGAAAGCTTCTACTCCTAAATTCTCACCTGAAATGCAAAGTCTAATGGCTGGGGACTATGTTTTGAGTACCTCATACACTTCATGTGGTCTGCCTTGACCCCAGATTTGTGTTTTCTTGGCACCATCCCTATGCAGACCCTGCAACATGCTCTGCAAGCAGTTCATTATGAAGTACTAATTACCTTGGAGCCAGACCTTGAAAGTAAGGAATGGAACAGAATTAGTTTCGTACCGGTTGTGGCTTTTGTGGCTTGAAGTATGCAGAGTGACAGTACTCTTTAGGTATTATTCCTACAACAGTTCAGTGCCTTAACAACCAGGAGTATTTTTCTGGCAGTAGGTGCTGTGAGAGGAGTGGAACTCCTGGCTCTCGTTCTAACTTCATTTAATTTTAAATTGTACTTGTGAAAATGTAGCGTAATCCATGAGACTTCTCTTTTTGCTGCAACTGGATAATATTTCAAGGAGAAAGTCTTTGCATCAAGGATTACAAACATGCAGCTGGTTAGAATGGCTGAGAAAAAACAGAAATAACAGGCTTAAAGTTTTTCAAGATGGGCTCTAGAAAGCTTCATTAATACACCTGCTTATTTTACTGCTTTCAGTGAAGTGATTTCTTGTCTAGAGAAAGGAACTGAAAGCTGGGGCCCTGAGTCCTAATCCTGGTCTACCTACATGACAACACTGCTAGAAACTGCCTAGCAGTGCAGTATTTGAGTATGCAGAAGGCACAAGGGGCCTTCGGAGTACAGCACTGCCAAGAAGTGCCTGTTGCCACTTGCTGCTTTACCCAAGGATGTGTTGGTAGGTGCTGCAGGAGGGTGTTCTGCCGACATTCCATACTGGGTCACTGTGCCCACACCACCACAGCTACTACATGGCTGTTTCCTAGCCTTGGCATCCAGTCTTCCTGGGACTGAGGACATGATAAAAAATGAGACAGCTTGGCATTTGCTCCTTTGCAGTCTCAAGCATGTTGGTTATTTTAACCTGTCCTCAGATTTGGTTCTATCATTCATGTCCAGGGATGGAAATGATGTCAGAATGAAACCTTTTAACTGAAGGCCAAAAGCAGAGGAGTGGCTGTGAGAAGTTAACTGGCTTACCTTGGCCCGGCTTCAGTTTGGTTTCGAGAGGCCTGATATGAAATCATTGTCAGACCCCTGCTTAGTATCTGCAGTGCAGCTGTTTCATCTGTTCCAGACACTGAGGCTCAATGGAATGGCCTGTCTGGTGGAGCCAGCTGCTTCCTGAGGATATGGCAAGAAAGAATATTGTGAAAGAAAGAATATTGCTGGCACAGCAGCTGATTAACAGACACAGTGTTTTCTGCTTGTGGCAGACGAGTGCAAACCTGGCATTTAGTCAGAATCAGTCTGTGAGGACAAGTGGAGATTTTGCGCTGGTCCCATCTGGAAGGTAGGTGTGATCTTTGCAATTCTTTAGGGGAGTGCCATCTTAAATCTGCCCCTACAGTGTAACTGTAGGGGCTCAGCTTACCACAGATACTTTTCCCAGCCCTGGAGCAGGATTTGTAAGCTTAGAGTGTTATCCTGCTTATGCATAAATGAAGGCCTTTTAAATGCAATTACCTAGGATGAATGAGCAAGTAGGTGAACAGGAACTGGCAAACTGTGCAGGATGTAGTTGCATTATCTTTCTTAACCTATGTACAAGACTACTCTTT